AGTGCAGGTAAACTGACTTTAGATAAACACACACAGACCCCCACCCCCTTGCCCCCAGCAGAGATGTTTGTATGCTGCTAGAAGAGGCTGATTAAACACTCAGTGCATGGGCTCACTGTGCCACTCCTGGAAAATAATGAATTGGGTAAGGAACAGTTAATAAGAAAATGCGCCTTGCTAACTGTGCACATTACAACAAAGAGCTGGCAGCTCCTGAAGGAAAAGGGCTTGTGCCGCTGCCGTTCAAACTTGTCAGTCAACCCGTGCCAGCAGCCTCAGCGTCTGCCTCCCCAGCACACCCTCATTACATGTGTCTGTCTGGCCTGATCTGTACATCTGCTCGGAGACGCTCCTGCCTAGCCAGGGATTTCTGCTCTCCTCCACCAGTGCTAAGAGAGGATTTTTCCCTGCTTCTCCTGTCACCTCCACTCCTCTCCCGAAGGAGGCTCTTGCTGTATGGTAGCTTTGGACTTACTTCACCATCTGCCTGTCTTTGACTTCTAGAATGGAAGAAGCTGAGCTGGTGAAGGAGAGACTCCAGGCCATCACAGTAAGTCTGTATACAGTTATAACTCATGGAGGTGGTTGCTTACAGAAACGGCAGACACGTTGCTAGCTGCCCCTGCCGCTGAGCCCCTGTAAGTGGAAAAATAGAACTGTCATCCTTCATGGACGCGTCTCTGCCACTCTCTTAACCCTTGTGACCCTCTGTAACTCCTGGGCTTCTGAACCTAAGTACAGAGTAAATGTTTTTTATTTCTGCAAAAACTCTGCCTACGTTTTAAACAGCAATCAGAAGCTTTTAAGGCAGTTTGGTTAATCTTCTGGGTACCTTAGAAACACAGTTTGTTCTTAAATTTATATTTAGCAGACATTAGTTCAAAAAACAGAATCTCAACTTGGAACTCTTTAAACAATTAATACACCAAAAAAGTTAAAATCTTTTAAAATAGAGAGAGAAAAAGAAATAAAACAAACAACTTGAAACTTTTTATTTCTGGTGTGTTAGTGTGTTTCAGAAAGCCTAACAGAATGAAAATGACTGTTCTTGCAGTTAAGCTAAGCACTAAACAAGAGAAAAGTGGGTAAAATCACGTATCAGATTAATTCTAAGATATCAGTTTCCAGCAAAGTCACAAACCGAATAAGATCTTGATACAGGAATGCAGTGCTTCCACTGCCATGGAATTGGAAAATATTTCATTAATACCAGGAAGGAAAATAATGCATTTTTTATGTTTGTTCTGGGAAAGGGTCAAAGTGAGAAATGAATTCTTTTTCTTAAATGATCCAGCTTTTTAAATTTAATTTTATAAAATCCTCTACTTGGCAGTAACCTGGAAACCTATGGCACGATCATTTGTCATTAGCTACAACTTATGATATAATTTTTTTTAAGAAAAGAAACTTTGGAAATCAACATCCCAACTTCTCAGCGTTTTCTGCTGCTGGAATTAGCTGTCATGAAAAAATAATAACTTTTTAAAAACTGATGCTTAATCAGGATGGGTAAGAGGATCTTTGCTCTTCAAATTCCCATGGCATAAGCAATAATGCTAATCCTAATTTAAGATTTTTATTAAAAAACACAGTTTACCAGTTCCAGCCAGAAAGGATTCAATAAGTTGAAATATTTTCTCAGCCAATGGTAAGGAACCAGAAGTCCATGGAAAAGATTGGCACTTTTCCATAAGACAATGCTTTTGAAATGTCTAACTTCTAATTAGTACATTTTCCTTTCTTCAGAAAACTTTAGTTTGGATTGTTGTTTGTTTTGTTTTGTTCTTTTTCCTTGTTAAGTACAGCCACCGGTTCAGCTGTCCTGCTTGAAGGGACAGGAACTCAGCTCTGCTCTGTTGTTTTTGGCGTGGGCCTTTTGTATTACAGCTGTTGTCTAAAGGTTATTTTATTAGACTGTGTGAGTTGTGTGGGCATAAGCTTCACTTTTTCTGATGTCTCTATCTGCTAATTAACTAAATTCATAGTGCATCCAACGAAATACATAAGTAGTCCATTGTTCCACGCTTTCTTTTTTAAATTGACACACACCCTCACTTAAGCCCTTATTACCCTCAGTGCACCTTGTAACTCTTGCTGAAGCGGCACACATTCTAAAGGTATGACTGCATACAGTTTCAGGAAGGTTAGGAATTTTCAGTAAGGGTTCCAAGTGCAAATACAGATATTAGAACAAGAGTCAGTATGCCTTACAAGCAGACAAGAGATTACGTAAGTTCCTAAATATACTGGCATGTGCTTTTTCAATGATTAAAAAAAATACAATTCTCTGAACTATTCCATTAGCCTAAGCATATCCCATTAGAAAGAATTAAGCAAATCTCCAAAGTAAGATCACAAAGTAATGCTATCTTAGAAGTAATGTTTGTATAAAGGTTGTAGGAACAAAAATTGGGGAAAGTTTATAGGAACAAATTTCCACTAGCTAAGACCAGTCACCAGGCTAAGCCCAGTCACATTTGTCACCACCTAGAGGAAAAATGGAGCAGTGGTGTGTCCATGGAAACAACACATCCAGTCATGTCCCTCCTGGACTCCCTAGAACTGCCAGCTTTCTCCACCCTTGCCTTACCCAGAAAGCCACCTCAGCCATCTTCCTTCCTCCTTTGAAAATGAAAAAACACAGCACCCAGAGAGTATGCTCTGGACTAAAATGTGTGGACAATCTTCTCATTTTGACTGTTTTCTCTTATTGCCCTACACTGAAACAAATTTTATATTCATTCTTCAAGAGCAAAATCATAAGACAATTGTTCAGTGTTCCCAAACACAGCAACTCCCAGACTTCTCTTTATTAGGGGAAAAAAATTTACACTCTAAAATCTATCTGAGTTTTATATTAAAATTTATTCCTCTAATTCCTGGCTGTGAAATGAAATAATTTTCCCTGTTGAGTTTATTCCACCTGGTTTTGAGTGTCCAAAAAGTCATTATTTCCACAGCAAAGAATTGAAAAAACAAATGTATATGCCTGTAACTTGACAGACCAAGTGCCAGTCTTCTTGTTCCTCTTTTTTTTTTTAGAATGTGGCACTTAGATTCTCAAACTGCAAACTAAATTACTGTGTTGGTGCCATTCATTTCTCATATCAGTAAATTGAATTTTAGATTAGTCAGAAGTCCTCTCAAAGAGAATGAAGACAAAATTATGAAAGTACACAGAAATGATTGTTTAGAAGATAGTATTTCAGTCTGGGTGTACTACATATGGATTCTAGTTTACATTACTCTCATGTTCCTCCTTCATTACCTTATCCATGTACTAACTCTACCCCTACTAAATTAGTGGTCAAAGAATTTCTTAACTAAAGAGTTCAGGTTTCAACTATAACTCAAAAACAGCATTGCTTCAAACTGATTAAATACTACTTATATTAAAAAGTCTCTTGAGGCTCTTTTCAAGTTAGTATTTTAACAAATAGCTGATTTTTATGCAAATGAAGAGCTATTGAGGTAGACTAGTAATTTGAAATTCACTTTTTATATTCCTGGAACCGACAATACCAACGTCTGCAGCATTCTCAGGGAGAGTGGAATGAAGCGCTGACAGTTTCCTCTGCACAGTCCCTCTCTGGAAGTAAACATGGCCCACACTCAAGAACAAGGAAAAGGCCCAGGTGAATTCCCCTTGGAAATACAAAGATCCCCTAAGGATTAGTAGTATTCCATATGCTCTTGACATCCTCCTCCACAAGGAACACATTATCTTATCTCCATTCCTACTGTGAGGTTAGGAAATACTGTTACTAAATAACATGGGAGACTCAGACTGGAAAACCCCTAGATCTCAAGCTGGCTAGTACTAGTTTCCGGGGCGAGATCAGAAGAATTCTGAGAACTAGAATCGATTTTCAGAGAACAGAGCCAGCTGGGGTGAAAAGGGGTAAGAATAAGGCTGACATTTTTACTTTCATAAAGTTTACCTGTAACTGGTAGGAATGTGTGTTATCAACTCATTCTCTCATTTTTTTATTCAATTAATTGAGCATCTACTACATGCTGAGCCTTATGCATTTAAAGGAAAAGAAATGAAAGAGGAGAATCAGGAGCGTCAGGAGCAGGATGAGAGTGGGTTGCAATTTGCAGTAGAGTGCTCAGGATGGGCTCATAGAAGAGTGACATTTGAGCACAGATGTCAAAGAGGTGAGCTCTGTCCAAACTTAGTCAATCATAATAATCACAAGAGCAAGCACCTGCTAGGACTGACTCCATTTGGAAAGGAGCCACAGAAAGTCCTGACATTGGAATTTGAGCAACAGAGCCAGATTTGTCGGCCAAAGCTGCTTGTGATGCAAAATAATGAGGAGCTCTCACATTTCCCCAGATCCACTCCCTATTTCTTTCCACTCACAAAGAATTTTCTCTAGACTTGTAAACAGGAATTTAGGAGGCAGAAAGTTTTTACAGAAAACAGAAATCCACCCAACGCAAAGACTAATATTAAAACAATAACATAAACACACAGGTTCTAGTTATCTCTTTAGCATGTGTTGCCTGTCACTTCGTCTCCTTTTTGTCAATACCTGAGATCTTCTAACAGTTAATAAGACAGTTAATGATCAAAAGCAGGACCTGCTACAGAATTCGTGGGGCCCAAGACATAATGAAAATGTGGGGAGCCTTGTTCAAAAAGTATTTAAAATATCAAGATGGTAACAGCAGAGCATTAAATTGAGTGCTGGGCCCTTCTGAGCCTGGTGTCTTGTATGATTTCACAGGTCACATGCCCAAGATGTCAGCCCTACTTCTATTTCCCAAGCCAGCAATAAACATTTTTTTCCTGCTCATTTCACCTATACAAATGAGAGAGTGAAAACAAGAGCAAGCCAGTCTGGATCTTGACTAACTGTCTACGTTAACATGTGTTTGGATCATTGTATTATTTAGAGCTCTGAAGACTTCTTAAAGGAACAGTGGCTGAAAGAATGCATAATGCACCATTGTTCTAGTGAACCTCATGGTTAAGACAAAGTTACAGGAAGAATTCCCAATTTGCCATGGCCATCCAAAGACATTTACACAAAGATGGTACATGGAGATGTAGGAATCTGCTAAATAAAGAAGTCCTATGCCAGAATATTCAAACAATAAAGCCTCTGCACAATTTTCCACAGTGCTGTACTGAGATTATATGTTTCTTCCAGAGGGGGGGTGGGGAAAACTGTTCTTCAAACAAATGTGCTTTGCCACATATCTTTGCCAAACATAATAGCCCACCCACAAAGGAGACCGACCATGTGATGAGGTATAACAATTTCGATAGCTTATTAAGGAAACTGCTTTTTGATAACAGTGGGAGGTTTTTCCAGTGTGCTACAGAATGATAATGCTACTTCACAAAGCCCTCTACTGATGACGATCCCCATGAACTTTCTGAACAAGAGCAGATGATCAAAAGGGAAAACTGCTTCTTTACAAAACTGTGATTGAAACAAATCAGAATCTAACTAGTATCTAAACAAGTACAGCATAGTTCAGTGCTGAAACTTCCAATCACCGGTCTCAAACAGCAGGCTCTTAAAGTAAAATAAG